ACAAAGCTACTGTATGTGCAGCGACATCGATCGCTCCCTCTTCTTGTATAACATTACAGAAGTGTTACACGTCAGTCACTGCTGAAATATAAAGACTTTACTACAAACAAACTGTCACAGCCAAACTTCAAGTAGCTCCATTCTCCCCAGAACTGTGTTTTACGAGTACGAACAAAACTCTGACAACCAATTTTGTTATCACCTGTCACTCTCTGCTGTGTTAACGCACACACACGTTCAGCACACTGGAGCACAGCCTTCCAGCGTCTGTGATCACACCGCTACATTAGTCAAAATATAATCATTAAGATGACATTTAGTTATGGGTTCATGGTTCACCTGGGGCTCAGACAAAAGAACGAGGAAACACACCTCCCTAGAAAAACTGGATCTATCAAAATCTTCACTACTGTTGTTCCTCTTCACTCTGACCTGAGTGTTTAGTGTACTAAGATTACTAGGAAATTCAGGTAGGATGTGTTGAACTAACCAGAATCTTAGTGTTGAAGCAGTGCTTACAGAAGCCAGTATTTAGTGAATCACGAGCTGATCATGGTACGATACTGCCGACTTGGTGATTATGTAGTTTTGAGAGTTTGACAAAGCACTTTTTCTTTGTATGCGTGTGTGTATGTGCATGTGTGTGGCAGGCAGTAGCGGTGGTGTGTTGATGATTACATTTTCAACCTGCAGGTGAGTCACAAAAACAGTGGCAGCCTTAAAGTGTGGGTGTGTCTGAAACCTGATATACGAAACTCAAAACGGGCGAGAAGGCCCGGAGTTAATCAACTGAAGATGACAGGCAACATCACAGAGCACATGACACGGGGACTGGAAATGAGGAAAAATAGAAAAACAAATTTTTAAAAAAAGAACTTAGTTAGACTTAGTTATATTTGTTTCACCATGTGGTCTATGTTAAAACACATCAGTGAGTGGGGAATGTCACAGCCATTCTGAGTGAGCAAACAACTTTCTCTATTTTGTTGATACAAAAGCCAGTTTATGTACATGTGAATGTCAAAAAGTTGGCAAGCTGGTACATCACATGGCCACCAGAACCATAAACTAGGTTTAAACTAAGAGTGGTACCTACTCTGTCATGTTGGTCATCACATGCTGTTTAGTATGCTGTGATACATTAACATTACATTGGAATCCACAGCCTGCAAAAACAGTAGCTACAGTGTAACCATCATGTACTGTACACTGGGCCAATGGCACTTACTTAATTTAAAAGATTGGTACATTTTTCAGTTTATTCCAGTTTAAACTAGAAATTCCAGGTTAGCCGCAATAGACTATGCTGTCACATCGTTTAAAGTGGGATTGCATTTACAGGGAAAGAAGATTAAATAGACAACCTTGCATAAGCTGCTTATTGTGTATACTCTTGGAAAACTTGTGAAACTAAAGCCATACTTTAAACTGGAACTTTCTGATTTCAAATTTCTTCAGGCTTTTTTTTTAAAGATTTGTTTTTTAGTAAATAATGCTCCTATACATTAAGCAAATACAATGAACTTTCTGATTTCAAATTTCTTCAGGTTTTTTTTTTTTTTTAAGATTTGTTTTTTAGTAAATGATGCTCCTATACATACATACAACAGCATGTTTGTAGTGTATAACATTAAGCAAATACAACGCATTAAAGCAATTTTCTGTCAATAAATCAATGTGCATATACATTTTCATGGAAAATAAAAGGAAGCATGAAAAAAAATTGTTCACTGACGGTTAAACGTTATCAGATATGAGATGTAAGTCAAAGGTGGTCAAAGCCATATGAGAAGTCCCAGGCACGTACAGTATCTAATCATGACTCATTGATATATGACAACTTGTTAAATGATAACATTACACTGATTTTCCACCTATGTACAGAACACTGTGATGTGTGTGTGTGTGTGCACATGTGTGTGCTGGGGGTTGGGTGTACCAGTGCATTCTTTCATGGGACTCCCAACACTCTAGCATCGCCCCTGGCACCGACCGTGATAAATAGTCTATAAAGTGTGATCTAATAGAGTCTTAACCCAACACATAGTCTCATTGTGCACCGATGGCCTCGTGTTACCCCTGATATCAGGCACTTGATGGTGTCGCTGTGACAAAACAGTGGTTTGTATTTTTAGAGCAGAAGAGAAAACAAACGTATTACTCACTCCTGAGAGCAGATATGAGCATATTCCCATCTTTGATCAGGTCTTTGATGAATCTGTTGGTTCGGTCCAGCTCTATCTCATGACACTGCAGCCTCTCTCTGAACTCAGGACTGTCCAGGAAAGAATCGCTGAACTCCAGCGTCGGCAGACCCATCGATGAATTAATACACGCTCGCACATACAGAAAACACACACGGTGGACAGAAACAGTACAGACGTCGACTCCTCTTACGTTCTCCCTCTCCGGTTTAGGGCAAAGAATGGCCTAAAAAAATCAACGTGTTCCGAGAAAGTACCACTTCCAGCTCCTTTTTATCATGCCTTTCTCCCCTTTTTTCCCCACTCACAACTTCCGGACAGTGAAACACAGCCAGCGCTTCAGTCTCTCTCTCTCTCTCTGTCTGTCTGTCTCTCTGTCTGTCTGTCACAGTGGAAGCTAAAAGCTAAAACCGCGACTCGAAAGCGTTGTTCTGCCCTTCTCTTAACACGGACCTAAAAAAAGTAAAAATAATAATAATAAAACAAGAATAACGTAGACTGTAAAGTGTACAAGGCAAACACAACCAATGAAGCTGTGAGAGCTACAGAAGTTTGGTCGCTGCTAAACTCACTATCAGTCCACTGCTCCGACTGAACTCGTGTTACTATGGGAACGAGAGACTCCTACTGGCCCGAGCAAAAATCTGTGCAGAGCTTTTAAATAAATCAATAAACAAACAGGCAAATGTTTTGAGGAATAATAATAAGCACTTGCAGGTGTAAGTTATATTTCGGTCATTTATCCGTAGAGTAAAACAAACGCTTGTCAAATTAATCCATACAATTTAATTTAGCTAATTTGTTGGGTGTTTTTGTTCGTTTTTAAGCTAATTTGTGCATTACTTTAGTATCTTTATGAGCTAATTTCTAGGTTTTTTTGGTTGGTGATAACTGTAGCCTTTATATCTAGAATATAATAATATAATATACAGTGTAATTTATTTTAAAAAATGTGTATTAAAACAAATTATACAAAGCAAATTAACAACTAACTTTTTATACTTTATTTAGTAATGTAATAATTGGCGAGTTTATGTGTTTTTTAAACACATTTAAATTGTTTTTCATGCTATTGCAATAAGGGTTAGCTATCTGTGGGTTGAATTCTAGTTGTGTTTAAATGCTTTTAAACTCAAATATATTAAAAGTATGGTACACTTATGACAACAATCTATTATCTAAACCTTGAATATATTTTTGTTCTGACCCAGGCTATAAAAAGTAGCAAGAAATATCACAAAATATTTAATTTACCTTCATGAAATTATCCAACGTATTATGCTAAAATTATGTCATAGCACTACAGCTGCTCATTTTCCACCTTCTGCACACTTGACGGTTTTACAGTATAATGTTTTTTTCTTTCTTTAAAGTGACCCACAGGCTCAGACAGAGCCTCTGACGTGAAACAAATACAGTCTGGATTTATGCCAGCAGGAAACACAGTGCATTGCTGAGTCCTGGCCAAGTGCTTCAGGGCAACCAGTGAATAGACAAAATAGTTTCTCTTTTTGGTGTGATGTGTGGGACTTTACACAACCGCAGTTAGATAAAACTTGTTTTCAAATTGTTGTAATTACTCAACTCCCTGTAGTGCTTGAATCAGCTAAGACAAACATGAAATCTTGGACCTGTTCAGTCAAAAACAAGGCTGAGCTGCACGCACTGCTTCAAAGCTTTACAAACTGGATTACTGTGTGTCAAACAGCCACTGCCCAGTTCCGATGTGGTGTAGGGGTGGTCCAGCTGCTTCATTGTCTCAGTAGGAAACTACTGTATCTGCCAGTCACTGGAGAAGAATAAGATGCCATGACTACTGAAGTAAACACGCTTTAAGCTTTCTATAATGCCTGATGCACACAAACATAGAGACGGTGCAAAGAAATGAAGACAGACTGCAGCAGTTTAAACCAAACACTAGGAGGGTAAGTAAGAAATGACATTTACTCTTTTAGGGCTCTTTTAGGACACTTTTAGGGCTTAAACCTGGATTTTCAGCAGGGCACTGTAATAAAAAGTTTGTACATTTTATAGTAAAGAATGAAAATTTCACACCTAAAACTCTGACATTTGAAGGGATTGGATCCAGGATTTTTATTTTGGAGATTGGCCTTTTTTCTCCAGAATCCTTAGAATAACATAAATAACTAAAAACTTTATTTTATTTATGATAATTTTGTGACAAAATGAAACATTTTAGTGATAGTTAATATTTTTACTGTATTGTGGTTTGAAGTAGTTCTGTTTACTACATTCTACTTTTGGTAACAAATATTGCCAATTTTATTAATATAAAATCCCGGTCTGCAGACAATTGATGATTTTTAACCAACTAACAGTACTACTTATATAGCCATCTTCTAGTAAAAACATTAAATCTGTGGATACCTTTTAACTGCGTTTTCTGTTCCAGACGTTAAAGATCACCTGCAGCTGAAGTCATTAAGAACTGACAATCTGGAACCCAAAGAGAAAATGTTCATTGAAAATGCAAACGCACAACATCCACGCCACTGTGATTTCTTCCTGCGTTGTCGATCCTACAGAGGAGAACTTCCGACGGTGGCAGGTAGAAATGTGCTACATGTGTTAGCGATACCCTGACAACAGTTGTACATTACCACCAAAAGTCACATCAAAATATTAGGACCCCTGACCACACCTGCAGTTTACAGTCTATAACTTTGATATAGATGTCTATGGCAACAGTTTACCTGACTCTCTTTGTTTTGACCTGGCCTCACCAGGACTTCTCCTCTATCCTGACATTCCTGCCAAGATGGAAACAACGTCACAAGAGGCCTTCTGCTTCAAATACATCCCACAGCAAGTCAGAGTCAAAGGTCTGCATGCTCTCATCTTAGCCTGGAGACTCAGCTCACCTTATCTGCTGCAGATAAACACTGACGTGTCAGAGGGGAAAGATTAATTTATTTCAGGCCCAGTGTTTTGTTATTGTGAGGGCAAATTACAGAGTTAATCTGTGTATTTAAAATCTTAATACCTTAATAAACCTTAATAAATATTAAGGTGTTAAAAGGTGCACTGTGTAAAATTTTGGGTAAATTATTTTCTAATACTCTGATATTGTAAGAAATGAAATGCAAAAACACGTTAACAACTACATTCAAAAATACTCTCCTCAAGGGAGGCGACCATGTTGAATAATCAGTTTTTGACATTGAATCACAGTAGACAAACTACCTTCAATGTTATCAGATTACGTACAGCTTGTTCTCTGGGATCAGTGTAGGAGAGTCATCAAGGCCACAGAGTTTCAGGTCAGAATCTAGAAAAAGAGAAAAAACATTGTTAATCAATTCTTCAATATTAAGTACCAGTACCACATCAAAACAAGCCTCACTGAAAAAATAAAGCTATTTTTCCAGAGCTACTTAAGTCATAAAATCAAAATACCATGGTTTCTGTCTTTTTGAAAACAGACATATTTATTCCCCCTAATATTAGTTAAATCAGTCCAATAATCACATAGATTTTACTCTATTTGTTATTTGTAGGATGTGACATTTAATGCAATGACTCTTTTCAAATGTTACGATGACCCTTCAGGAAACAAATCTGATCAGAACACACAGCAGCAGTCCCAGTGTCATCATCCTACACCTTCGAGACAAACAGGAAGAGGAAACACAGGCATGAGCAGCAGGGACAGTACACAAGGACAGAGTGCAGGCACTCATCATGCAGAAACAAGAGAAATGCAGTCTCAATATCAGAAGGATTTTCCTCCTCCGTCTTCCTGTCGCAGGAGGCGAACGCCTGCACTCCCACAACCGGACAACATCGGCATCAACCCAGCCTTCAGGTATGGGCTACAACAAATCAGTAAAATCATTATGATATCGTCGAAAATGGTTACAATTATGTGTATGCTTGATTCACAGGATCGAGTTTAACACAATTCAAAGAGAGGCTTTTCCTCAGTGGCCTACTGTGACTTCCGGCTGTGTGGGCAGACAGAAAGTGGCTTCACCTGCTCAAACAAACACAGACAGTTATTAATGTGTTCAGCATATCAGGTTTTCTGGGATTAGAAAAGGCAGACTACTCAGACTAACAACTATGTCTCATTGTCAATGTTTTCTATAATGGTAAAATCACAACATAGTATCAGATATATAAGTTTTTTTTTCATGTCATTTTGAAAGCAATCAATGCAAAGCACATCCATAAAGACTATTATTAAACCAGTACTAACATGCCTGTTGTGTGACTCTGTCTTTGCATTATCCCTGCTGTCTTATCTCATAGACAGCACCAAAACCCATAATTTAATTCTTACTCTGTTCAGACATGACCAGAGTGAAGACGAAGCCACGGGTATGTCTTGTTTTCACCAGTGTTTCGAGGAATAACTTCTTGCAAGCTGCTTTTTAGTACATTTGACCCAAACATTAAACACCAAATGTAGTACAACCTATGCAGACAACAAACCTTCACAGATTTATACTAATGATTTCATATGTACCTGTGTTAAGCTGACGAGAACAAACAAGTCCTTGGTGACTCATGTCTGCTTGATCTCCAGAGATTTAACTCAGACTAAAACAGAAGACAGACCTTGATCCCATTTTTCAAGTTGATGGTTCATTCCAAAAAAAGTGGTGGTTTATTAAATTATTTCATAACAAATAGGGTTTAATGCAAACAATAAAAATGAAGTCATGACAATTTTGTCCAACAAAAAGTTATCCTGCTAGGTTAAGAAGCTAACCTCTCAACAATAGAGAATGGAGTATTTCCTTGTAAAAAAAAAAAAAAAGGATATTTTTGTAAGAAACTGTGATGCTTCTGGGTGGAATTATCTACAATTGGAAACTAGGAATATATATATATATACACACACACGCACATAGGGTTCGTGTTGAAATTGAGAAAAAATCTTGGCTTTCATCGTCTTCTGTCCCTGTGTCTACTCCTGTCCCTCTGTCTGTGGTCGTCTCTGGACCTGTCCCTGTCTCTGGACCTGTCTTGTTCTCTTGACCTGTCTCTGTCTCTGTCTTCTCTCCTCCCTCTACTGCTCCGATCGGGTTCTCTTTGTCGGTCCCTGTCCTCTCTGTCTCGTTGTCCATGCATGTCCCATTCTCTGCCTCCGCCTCTCTCTTGGCCCTGACCTCCGAGGTTGATCGGTTTTCTGAAAGGCCTGTCCCGGCCGCCGAACCTCAGCTGTCCGGACTCCTTCTTCCCTCCCAGTCCTCCACCGAGCCGCCGGGGTATCCATCCTTCCAGGGTTCTCTCCAGTTCGAAATCCACAAATATTTCGTGCTGGTCCACCATCAGTTTGTTAGCGTCCCGGCGAGCTCGCACTACGGACATATTCAATAAATGCGTATTTCTTAGAAAAGCCAGTAACGAAGTCCCGGACCAGTCGAAGCCGCTTGATGTCTCCGTACTTGGAGAAAACTTGGTGCAGCTTATCTTCGTTTGTCTGTGGATTCAAGCGAGCCACGAACAGAGTGAGCAGTGGATCTCCAACGACACCTTTGTTGGGCTTGTAGCGGGCGTTTATCGCCCTCCACACCGCCCGGTCATGCGGTTCAACGTCCGTGCCGTCGATGCTGCCTGCCTTTAGGGGGTCATAAATCTTCGCAATTGGGTTCCAGTCTGTCATTTCTTCTCATATGGAGACACAAAAATGTTTTCTCGGTCGTTCGTTTGCCACATTCACACGGGTGCGTCTACAAAAACAGTCCGTGTGGAAACAAGCCACCGTGAACATATCCACCAGGTAGATTTCTTTTAAATCACCTTGGACAACATGATTACAAAAAAACAAAATAATAGTTTTAATGATACTGCGTAGACGGTATGAGTTATAAGACTATTAAATGTGGCAGACCCATAGCATCACAATTTCATGGGAAGGGAAAACTTTCCCATTACACTTATTGTGCTTGGCGCTCATCAATTGCGTCATTGAATCGCGTCTCCATTCCAGCATACTCTGGCGCCACCTGCTGCGTATTGCCATAAACATATATATACGCGTACGTGAACTTAAATTATGTTACTACTTTTATATACAAAAATGTAGCATATTGTAAGCTACGTTATAATAATACAATAACTTGACGTTTTAATGTTTTACCAATAACGAATTAGGACACTTTATTTACGTGTTCTTGGAACGGAATAATAAGTAGTAAAGCTGGTTAAAAACGGTCCTGGTATCAATTTAATGGGTGAATTTAGAGGCTCTATTGTATGATTTAATTTTAAACTTCTATTCTTATCTTGTGTGCTAATAACCTAAGACAACACAACACTTTACAAAACCATTATTTATTAAAACAGTACAAACATCTATTGACAAATCTCAATGTTTATAACAGTCTTTTACTGTTCTGTACAGGTCTTTCTAGGTCTTAGGTCTTTTGTCATGTAATAAATTTTCCCCAAATTATCAAAATGGTTTGCAGAGGTTGTTGTTGTTTTTTTGTTATTTTATTTTAACAAATAAAGCGCTCTGTTACACCCAGCAAATTCCACAAATTTACAATCAGCATATTCTTAAAGACTAATAATAATACCCCTGGTTACAAATGTATCAGAATCCAATAGAAAATCATTTGTAAAAAAAAAAAAAAAGAAGAAGATAAAACTATGGTTTTATTTTCTGATAGTCAATATTAAAACATATTTGCAGTCTCCTATACTTTGGGTGAACCTATGACTTTGGATGATATTATATATTTGTGTGTATAAAACATGAAAAACGTGTTGCAGAGGCTCAAAGGCACCCTGCTCAGTGTGACAGAGGTTCTCGTTGCATCGCCAAATAATTTGTTTTGAATTAGATCAATTTTAAGTATGTAAAAGACTTACTGTATGTACAAGTACTACCTCAATCAAACTATCTGAAAATATAAATCATATACAAAAAGGCATGATCTAAAACCAAATATTGAGAGACTGTTTTCCCTGAGATCAGGTTCAGCTCATCGCTGCCTTACCTCAGCCATCTACTTTGTTTGACCAAAAAATGTGGCTTCAATGATTTTAGTTAGAGGAACAAATTAAATGGTGGAAGCATAGCGTCCAATGACAGGTTTCTAATTTTTTCTTTATCATTTTGTCTTTTCATGACTAAAGTTGAGGATCTTACTTAATTTTCTCAAATGTCCGCTTGTCCTTGGAATTAGTCAAATAAAAGTTCAGCAGTCCTGGACTTCAGCTCACATGTCCTCCACACTCCACTTGTAGGCTTCCTCTTGACCTGCTTTTTTATCTGCCAACCGCTTAAAGTATTTCTGCTCAAATCCATTTGACCTGGTGAATACAAAGGAAGTGAATTAATGATTCTGAAAATCAATGCCTAACTACATTGATGACTTCAAACATGTGGTTGAAAGACCTCAGAAAGAACTGGATTGACTGAGGTTAAACATAAAATGTACCTGTCAACTCCATCCCAGCGGTATCCTGGTTGAATATTGAAGCGATTTGGTGGTGGCTGTGGGCCTTTGTACCGAGGTTTATCTGCAGGACAAAGTATATATATTAATTATTGATAACAAACAATCTCAAACAGGCTGCATCAAACAGCCTGAGGACCATGTATGTACGTTCTGTATGTATGCATGCTCCTCACCATCTGTCTTTGTGGTGCGATTCTTCTTCCGTCTCAGCATCGCTGCCATCGGATCTCCTTCTCTTTCCTGCTCTCTCAACAAACGGTCCAGGTCCTCGTCATCGTAGTGACGAGCCAGCGGCTTCTGGGATTCTTGTAGAGCATACTCAAGTTTCTGCTGGTGCATCTCACCCTGGGCCAACCTACAAACATATACCATATTAAAAACAGTCAACCGTTGTTTTAATTCAAATAAACTCCAGGAAACTTCTCTAAACTCACCCTTTACCCCACTGAGCATATTTCTCATCCTTCGCTGCTTTTTCTCCAGCCTTTCTCTGCTGTTCTTCTCTCTCCAAGTCCAAATTTCTTCTTTTACCACTCTTGTCTCGAAACACGGTGTGGGCATTTCGGGATTCCTCTGTTTCAAGAAGAAAAGAAAATATATAAAATCATTTTCAATGCTTAACACCTGTATTTAATTATGCAATGGATTGTAAATATTTGAAGCTGCTTTGAAACAAGGAGTTGTTAATAATAACAGTTGATGATAATGTTTAGTTTGAGCTCAATAAAAAGACACAAACCTTCAAGCGGTTTGTTGTTTTTCTCTCTTTGTCGGTTCTCTTCCTTCTCTTTTCTTAAAACATCCACAGAAACAAGACCTGCCTTTCCACCAGAAAGCATTCTATGTCCCTGAAAAACATGTATAAATTAAACCACCAAATTGAGAAACATTTAAAATGTACTGTTATTTAAATTACACTTTTTTCCTCACATGTGATTGGCCAGGTCTACGAGGTGGAGAAAGATCACCATCAGAGTTCTTTCCAGTTTGTGGTCGCCTCCTGGGAGGAGACTGGTCAGAGTCAGAGCCATGTCTCATTTTTGAAGACCTTTTTGGAGATTGATCGTAATCTTCTCTCTCCACTGGCCTTTTGTGTTTCCTTCTTGTGGGAGATGAATCTGAAAGGAAAGATAATTAGTCTTTTAAAAATATATCTTATTAAATAAAAACTAAATGAGCTTGACTTTTGATGCTAAATGTTTCACTTTCTTAACTGATTTACTGTATATTAAACATATAGTGGTAAGCTGGTCAATTAAATGCCTATTATTATTAGGTTTAGTGCCATTTTAGAAAATATTATAATATATAAAAAATAATATAATTATTATTTCTCACCTTTACTTTGTGTTTTCCCAGATTTCCTTGAACGTTGCCGTGGAGGTGACAAATCTGGAGAGTCGTGCCGACCTCTTCTATGAGGAGACAAATCAGGAGAATCACGGTGGGATTTTCTTGGAGGGGACATGTCTGGAGAATCATGGCGTGCTTTTCTGGGAGGCGAAATGTCTGGAGAATCATGGCGAACTCTTTTTGGAGGGGACAAATCGGGAGAATCATGGCGACCTCTTCTAGGAGGCGATACATCAGGAGAATCATGACGAAGTTTCCTGGGTGGGGACACATCAGGAGAATCATGGCGAGCCCTTTTGGGTGGCGATGTTTCTGTAGAGCCATGGCGGGTCTTTTGTTTATGTTTCCTTGGTGACAGCTCTGTTGAATCATTTCCTCCATCTTCGTCTTCATCAACTTAAAAAAGACACACAATGTAAATAAAGGGCTCTATTGCACCAACACATTAGCATTTGCAAATCTTTCACTAATGCTATTTACCTCCTATGATTTTCCACTTGTTGCTGGTTCTAAAGTTTTCCAACTGAATGACATCATCTGGTCGTTCATCAATCACTTCAGCAATCTTTGAAGAAATAAGTAAATTAGTATTCAATACTTAAAATAATAAATACTTTAATTTGATGAATCTCACGTGCCCTTTTACTAACTTTTTGAAAGTGAATGTTAACAATGCTACGTTTATTCTGTTACTATGAGAGCACTGCACCTTCACTCAAATTAGTCCAGCACTAATATGCTAAAGAAACAAATGCCAATGTGTCCCTCTCCAGACAAACCATTACAGGACCCCCAGTGATTTGGAGATTCAGCTGAGCAGAACAATGTACACTGTATATCAAATAATTCCACCATCCTTCCACATATTTTTGCTCTAATAGACAGTCCATACACACTTTACACACACTACTGGAGCTTTAAACAACATCTTAACAATGGGTTAGTGCGCAGAGTTAACGTTTGCACATTTTTCTTGATATTCGTCCATATTAAAAAAAGAATTGGATTACTTTACTACTGTGAAACACGTAAATCTACCAGTGTGTTTATGTCTTTCTGTTTGAGCAAGACACAGTACGGATTTTGTCATATTTAGGATTTCGATATATCTGAATTAATCATAAAAACTGCGAAGTACAATATTCAGGCACGGGAAATGCATTTTGATTTAACGAAGAATATTTGCTTGTTCTCACCACTGGAGCCTCGTCTTCTTCCTCTTCAACCGCCTTCTCTTCTTCAACTGTCTGTCTCCAATCTACATCATCGTCAACGATTTTGAATCTTAAGAAGAAGTAAAAACTAGTTTGTTCCCAGAGACCATTCAAAGCGTGAACGTTAAACGTCGATGTCTCCAGTGGTACAGCATACATTTACGTAAAACCAAACAACGGTGTAAGATTAAGGTTGCCTTCGACTCACCCTTTCTTGACAACCTTCGGTCGTTTCTTCTTAATTTTCCCTTTTGCCTTCTTTCCGTCTTCATCCGCGGACAAATAACGTTTTAAATACTCCGCTTTAGAAAGCCCTGCAACAGAGCTACTTACAGAGGAAACCGCCATCTTTGTTTTGCGGAAACTACGGAAAGTGAGGTGGGACAAAATGGCCCCAGACGGAGGCCTATCCATGATAAAGTTTTTTTCTATGAAAATGAGCCCTTATGACATATAACATACATCTATCCATCCACCCATCCATTTTCATCCGCATCTACCCAAATCACATTGCACCTTACCAACCCCCCTATACCTTCCTGCGGGTAGTGAGTCCCCTTTAAAAAATAACATACAATATATCTAAAATTGTTTTGAGTGAAAGACCAAAGAGACATTATTTTAACATCTCGTTAGACCTTTTAGACGTTTTTGGACGTTTTCAAACCCTGAAAATATAATAACAACAATAATAATAATAATAAGAAGAAGAATTTGGTTCGTTGTCTCTTCCAGACAATATGAGTGTTTCATTTTTTAAGAATTTTAAAATATTGTACAGCCAAGAAAATATCCCCTAAATTAAATGCTACATTCTACAGTAGGCCTTTCATGTAGTACTGTCTACCACCGGCAAATAATCCTTTAAAAACAGAAGAAGCAGAATCAACTGTCACAAAATTCAATACATTGAAGTGCCAAAGCCACAAAACTAATCATTTTTCACTTTTAGTGTTGTAAGTCTAATTATTTTAGTAGTTATTATGGTCAGTATGTGTGGGTGTGAAGGGTTGTTTCTGTATGCCTATGTCATTGTACGTGAACAGAGCTTTTTAGGCTAAATTGTGGTGTTGTTGTGGTTTTGCTGGACATGCAGAAAAGCATTAGTGTTCAACATTTTCTCTGTCTGTGGTACAGCTGCAATTGTAAAGGGCAACATTAGTTTTCTGCCCACTCTCCTTAATGTGAGTTCCTGCAACTTTGCTGTGTCAGGCTTTTAATTTCTTATTGATTTGTTGAGCACAATCCAGGAGACATTTGGTCCCTTGGATTCTTTCCTACAACCGACTGATGTGGTCTTGAGACACTTGAAGCAATTCTTTGTTTTCACCACGAAACACCTTGCCAACTGTTTCAGACCTACAAATGAGGTCAAACAAAGCTGTGGTGCTTAGTGGACAAAACTAATATCATTATTTACAAAATTATCACTTACTGTAATGATAATGGCTCTTTACTTTAGTGTTTTCACCTTTTAAGTGTTTGCATGGAGGGCTCCGGCTGGATGAAATGGCTTACTTAGATTGCGTTCCATTTCCAAAAGCTCCACATTATGAATGATTTAGGCGTCTCCTTATAAATGTGGACAACACATTTATTTATTGTAATTTGTTTTCATAATTAATGGTGCACTTTGCGCAGATGTTTTAACTTTAATTAGCAAATATTTGTTTGTATGCTCAGCGGATGAGCTTCAAATCACTGGCTCCTCGCCCTTCTAAAAAATACAATAAATCAATACAATAAACTGGCTGTCATTTCTGTTGGACAGTGCATTCCCATCTGGATCCCAGTCATGTACCATTAATAGGAAACTCACACCAATATAGTGTCTGACTTTGAACAACATTTCTTTATTGAAAACAAGCAACGCAGCTTCCAAAGCCATTTATACTTGGCAAGTTACGCAGTGCATTAATTCTCTTACAATACAGTGTGTTCCTCTGCAACAAAGAAAGCAGGTCTGGGTTGAACAATTTAAGGTTGTTCTCTCTCATTAGACAGAGTTAAGAAAAACACATGATACTTTGTTAGTGGCTGAAGTAGGAAGGAGAAGGAGAGCCTTAGTTCCATGCTGTGAATATGTAGTTGTGATGATGTTGTTGTTGGTTGTTAATGCAGAAAGTTGGTTGTAGGTGTGGTCAGATGTGTGTATGTGTGCCTGGGTGTGTGTCAGCACTGTCTCTTTAGCTGTTTGTGCAGTAGAAGATGAGAAGCAGACCAACTATCCAGGTGCAGGAGCCCTTCAGGAACATGCTCACAGCTGAACATGGGAGAAGTTTATCTGCAGAACAACAACACATTTAGTTTCAGTAACAGGGTTTATTCTCTGGAAAAGTTTAAATCCATCTCTCTCTCACTTTCCCCGTGTTATTCACATTCAGTCAACCTACCTGCCTCTACATTGACACTGACACTTTTTCCGCTAATTTTGCATATGTACGTTGTGTTGTGTGGGAGCTTGTCGGAGAAGCCGCGCAGGGTCATCCTGTAGCCATGGGGGTCCAGCTGCTCCACCTGGCTTTTGTCTTTGAACTGGTTCTCTGCAGATGAGCCGGAGACATTGGTATTAATCAGGGACTCTTTGGTTCCGGAAGACCAGGAGAACTCATAGGTGTCGAACTTGTTGGGTTTTTTTTCCGAGATCAGACAGTCTACCCTCAGTTCCTTGTCATCTTCAAGACACACGGTGATGTCATCAGACTCTGCTGTGATCAGCAGCACTGAGGAAAAACAGAGGCGTGAACATAACAAAGTACAAAAAAGCATTGTATATTTTGCTTAATATTTTTGTACAGTGATAGGTCTCAGGTTAGCTGTGCAGATGTCTTACCTCCCAGCACTCCAAACATGAACAGATACTTGATCATGATGGAAAATCACCCATCCAACTGAGAGGAGACGGAAGAAAATGTGGATGACTTCATAACATGATTTTCTTTAAATCAGTAAACTGTGGCTGTTGACGTTCTTCACCAAATGTGTTATAATCAATTTACCCTTCACAACAGTGTCAAGCTGTCCAAACAGTTTTGTTATAGTGATGGGTGAGGTCATGACGTCATATTTGTTATGATCCAAAAACACAGGATAAAAAAATCAAACCAGAGGAAATAACAAAAAAACAAAACAAAAAAAAACAAAGGTATTATTTTGACACTAACTTCTATGTGTGTGAGAGACGCTGTGCTGCGATAATCTGATTTGTGAGTATAATCTAATAGTTCTCTTGTGTTGTCTGGAACTTAAAGGGAAAGGCCACCTGTGGCCAAATGTAATTTCTGGATGACGCAGATGCAACTCACTTCGCACTTTTTTTTTCTACTGCTTTCAAAAACATCCATCAAATATTCCTGCACATTTGAAACAAATTTGCATGATGAAGTGTTCAATTCAGCATAAAAGTTAGAGCCTCAAGATGACAAAACGTCAAACCTGAAGTGTTCTCAGCCCAGGCATATTTTCATATTCAAGCACTTTCTAACATTTGTTTTTCAGATGTGATTCCCTTTCTCCACTCCACTCCCCAGCTGTGTCATTCTGAGCATCATGAAGGAGACTTACCTCTTCTCAGGGACAGGGAATGAAGCAGCTCCTGCCTTTCCGTGCCTGTCAGGATGGTTGATAACAGCTGGTAGCGTTAGCCTCAGTGTTCAGCACTGCAGAGAAACACACCTCGAATGTGGAGGAGTGAGGAACACTAATAGCTGGAGAGGGAGTGGGAGGGATAAAGCTACAACACAGAGATGCTGATTCGTCTTTCTCCTCTGCAGTGTCTGACGGAGGCAGCCAGCAATGCTGAGGCAAAACATAGTCTTCGTCATCACTTTTCCCAGCACAGTGTAATGACCTTGCTTCCTTGTTTGTTCCTGTGACAATTATCAATTATCTGAACAAATCCCCAGTGCATTAATCCACGTCTCTGTCCAACAGACATGTCATCTTTCCAATTTTCATATTCACACAGTGTCTCTGTGCTTTTTCTTTTTCTTTTTTTTTACTAATTCTCTGGTTGCAACCTCCTTCATTTCACACCTGCCTACTCTGGATCTCTCCCTCGGGCGTCCAACCTCTGCAACTCACCATGGACCTGCAGCCAAGGTCATCCTATTACTTTTAGTAATAGCGGTGCAGCAAAATGGAGACAGATAGATGTGGTTCATTTGAGAGGAGTCTCATTAGCACAAGTAACTCTGTATGGGATTTAACAGCAGAATTAGACAACTTCCCACTAAGTTAAGAACGTTTTCATGTGGAGTTCCTGATCTTGATCAATTGTCTTAAGCCTATATCAAGTAAAATAAGACTTTTCAAGGAACTTTTAGATAAAGCCTGACACATGAAAGGACACACAAGTAACTGACAAACCACACATCTCCAAATAGTGAACTGTGTCTAGTTTAAATGGAAACTATTATTTTCTCTACAATTAAAACAGCACAAAATCTAATGAGATCTTAAGACAAATTAATAAAGACGATTTTCTAGGTGCTTTTTATGCAAATAAATTAAAATATAACCCAGCATCGTCATTTCCTCGATCCACTTTATAGAGTAACTCCCCCCTCCCCACAGACACACAAAATAACTTCTCACAGCAAAGACTATTCTGCATTAGACTAGTACTAGTCTAAAGCAGAATAGTCTACTATAGTACTAGTCTAAAGCAGAATAGTCTAGCACTAACACTATTTTTTTTCTGGCCTTGTGACCCACAAAATGTAGCCATGTGACCCACTTTAGAGCCACAACCCACCATTTGAAAAATTGTGCTGCATTGGCTTTTTGCTACATTACTTTTATATATACTGCCTGACATCTGGACAACGCTGTGCTAATTTGGATGATGCTTAGCGAGCGTCATCATCAACAGTTATTATTCTAATTGTTTTTGCTCTTTGTCTTAACTAAACACGTGACCTAAACTTTCTAAGTATGCTTTTGTAGGAAAGAAGGGAGGGAACTATGCAGAGCAGCGTCCCTTCATCATCATCATCATCACACAGTTTTCGGTTTTTTTTTTTTTTTTTTTTTTTTTTTTGATACATCTGATCTAGTGACTGATCTGAGGTCAGCCCTCACTGCCAGAGGGAGTAGTTGGTCACACTCAGGACTCACGACTGGGGGGGGAAAGGCAATCTCAGAAATAATCTGCCCACGCGTTAATCTGCTTTATCCCCGCCGAGCTTCAGCCTCAGCCGGACAAAGACCGGCTGCAGCTCCTCCATCACTCAGGGGAAGGCGCAGGAGAGAACAGTGGCTTAGACGAGCGGGAAATAACATTAACAACATTTACTATTCGCGAAGGAGTGAATAAATCAGGAGTTTGTTGTGTCATTTATGGAGAGCTGGAAATAAAGTCAAGCCGCTGCGGGGTGTCCACTTCGGGAGGCAGGCGCAGAAAAAACACGCGCTCACTGGGAATTTTACCACAGACTGAAGCTGGAGAAGCTGGCACGGAGATGGGAAAGACGGGATTTGGGATTTTCCTGGTGATAAACTGTGTTGTTTCAGGTAAGGTCCGCTCTGCGTGTGTAAATATATTTGAACGACTCCATGATTACATAGTTTGGAATTGTTGGAATTGTTAATTATAATAATTGTTATTATAATCATTGTTCTTGTTGTTATGGTATTTAGCAAATGTTTATGTGTTTAAGATTTAATCTATTTAATAATCGCACAGGTGGGATTTTTATTTTATTATTTTATATATGGAAATTTCAATATTATTTCAATTTTTAATTAGTAAGTTTAATATTTCAGTAATTTAACAATAGTTACCAGTTGACTTCAGCAGAATTAATATAATACAAAAAATTGCAATACATATAATATACGTGATGTCAAATAATTTTAATTGAGGTGATAAATTCCTGAAAATCAGAGCTGATTGAATGCTGCACCATAACGATGTGTCGAGGTCAAAACTTTGGTCAAATTAATCAAACATGTTGCCCTTGACACTCTTTTTTTTTAAACCTTTATGTTCTTCTGCTGATATGTTAAAATAGTCATAAATACAATGACAAACCCTTTATAAGACTCAGGATTAAATGTTGCAATTATATTAAAAAAATCCGTAACTAATGTTACTGATGTTACTGTTAATGTTGTTAACATTATGTATACATTATATATAGTAATATAATAATGTAATTTTCTTCATGGTCCGTGGATGTGCCTGTACCACACATGCAGCTTCAGGGCAGATGGTGGTACTAGTTAGAGTGGTCTACATTATATGCCATCACAAAGGCCATTGTGGCAGCCAGCGGATGTAGTGAGCCTCTGGATCTGCTGTGATTGCTTTTCACATTCAGGCACTAATTTGCTGCTGGACATTGTGAGTGTGAGGTCACCGCCATGTGTACAGAAAGGATTGTAATGCTGAAGGACAGGCCGGTGGATTAAAGCTGCACAGGAAGCAAAATGAGTGTAACGACATGATAGACGCCAAGTCCCAGCTCTGCTGACTGCTGCTGCACTCTGTCTGTCTTTTCTTGACTCGTTAGTTCTGGACACAGCAGCTCTGCAGACCTGCCACCTGCTGTGGTCTGCCAGCCATTTGACGCAACTGCTGTCACAGAGTCGGTCCTATGTTTTCACCTTGTCATTAGAGTTGGCAGCAGCTCCTCTGCTTAAAGACACAGAAAAGGCCGACTGAGGCCGTGAGAGTGACTTTTTAGCGTAATCCACTGTCCTTATGGCCCGCAGAAATAATCCCACACAGCCCCTCTATCACACTACTTATTTGGCCAATCTCTGTGTACTTTTCTCAGTGTTAGACTTTTAAAGATGTGCAACCATCTGATTGGGCATCTGTTCACACAGATTAACGTCTTTCTCCAACCCTTTTTTGCTAATTCCCGCAGAACACATTTTAAAAGTATTCCTGGCAGGCAAAAAATCACTTTTTAACTATGATGTTGTTCATACTTTCTGTGTTATTTAACCTGACAACACTTAAAATCATACAACATGGCAGCTCTGGGTCTGGTCTGTGCTAACCCTGGATGCTAATTTCTACTTGCAGCTAAATTGACATGATATTGTCATTAGCCCACTGAGGCTCTGCACACACACACACACACACACACACACAGGGCCATTTAATTAATAATAATTTACAATAACAGTGACCTATAAAAGTCGACCGTTTATTTATAATACAACTTCCACTGAACCTTATAATAAAACCTAATAATATGCTACTTTTAAAAGGCTCAGTGTCTGCTGTAAAGCCCTGTCCAGCTTGGTTGCTAACCTTTAAAGAAGATACTGACTTTTTAATGGCTGTCGTCTAAAGTGTGTGTGAGCACAGCCACGGAGGCAGGAGCCAGTGTATTTAAGCTTGTGTGAAACTCAAGAAGTTTCTATTTCATGGTTTTCACTTAGATTGAGTTTTAATCCTCGAGGCTAAGCCCAGTTTTGGATATTTGAAACCTCTGATGAAAAGTGACAGCACTACCGTTCATTGCGATGCTCGTGTCCCAAGTGCCCCTGTGCAATCGTTTCTAAATTTACACCCATGGTTATTTAATTGCTCTTAATAAGGCGACGTAGAAGCTACTTTCACAGTCTTTGTTTTTCTGTCCATTTCATTTCCCTCCCAGGGTTCAATACGCAACACACAGATGCAGCAGTAGCAATCATCATAATCCTGTGAGCTGTTCACTGAACTCCAGCCAAACGCACACTCTGTGTTCTTGACGGCAGTGTCAAAGGGCTTACAGCCCCGTACACTCATGTCATGTGTGTAAATGTGTGTGTTTGACCTTAGCTGAACTTTCACTCAAAAAAAAAGGGACAGAAAAATTATTCCATTTTTTTTAGTTTGACCGGAGTTCTAAATCTAGGAAGATGAAAAAGTCACGGTCATTGTTGATATAAATGCCAGCTTTGCATACAAATAGAAAGTATAATAAAAAAAAACAGGCAGTTACAGGCAGAACTACTGAGGCAGAGTTGTGTTCATGTACTTTGACTTTGCTCTGCTTGAGGTTTTCATTGTAAATCAAGAGACACAAACACACTGTAATCCCAGATCAATCATAGATTTGATAGCCTGAAGATTAAAGAGTTAATCTGTCTATAATACTCTCCCTCTCTCTCTCTCTCTCTCTCTCTCTCTGTGTGTGTTTCTGTTTTATTTCTTATTCTGTTGCACAGAGTCAGCGTTTTAAGTAAGAAGCTGGAAGTAGATTTGGTTTCATCAGACTTTAAAGATATTCAGTTAGTATTTAATGCTAACACTAACAGCTAACAATGTTTAAAATATACAGATTTTTTTTTTCAAAAAATATTATAATAATTAGGATATCCCACCAAACTGCAAATGACTAGTTTGGACAAATAAAATAAAACACCTGCTTCTCTTTAACTGCCGACGTCACACATCTAAACAAGAGAGGGTGTAAAAATAAACTGTAAACTGTAAAAGAAAGATGGAGGATATCCTATTAGGACGTGAACAAACAGCCCAGTGCCACGCTGTGATGCTGCTCATTGTAAATGCTGCAAAGTGTAAAACAATATTGCCATTGTGTGGTCATGTTCCCATGATGGCCTCTTGTGTGTGTTTCTGTTTATGGATTATTGTTAATGGCACTGATGAGATCATTTCCTGTGCCTTGAACAATAGAAGAATGTGAATGGAGAGGAAGGTGAGAGAGAAGAGTGTGTTAGAGAGAGAGAGGGGGGGGGGGGGGGGGGGGCCTTTTTTGGCGGCTAAAAAAA